AGTCCACACTTCTGTTTATCCTCTGAATCCAAGATCAACAAAATTGTATCTTCTGAGAAAGCCTGAATTAAGGAGAACACATCTGGATAAAAATCATTGTCCTCTGATACCAATAACGTGTGATTTCCCTGGATGACTCTGGTTTCTCTTCCCTGTCTTCCCAGCCCAGTGATTGCAACTTCTTCCTCGTAAGTGCCTTGTGAGCGCTTACCTGTAGGGACTTCAGAATTCAGAACAAATCCATGCTAAACAGGAAAGGAGGTTGAAGGAACATTGCCTTTTCCTGTGGATAACTTGTATGGCATTTCTCCCAAGTGCATAATATATGTGTGGCTGTATTTTATGAAACTTTTATGAGAGCGCTTCATTTCAGTTCTCTTCTGCCTTTTATAGGGGGCCTGCTCCTATTAGTTTTCTGCAACTGAGATTTTATTTTTAAATATTAAATTGTGATTGTGAAAACAAGTCCTTTATTCCCAGAGCTGCACTCATGTATATGCAACTTCTGACTTATGTGGAGGAAACTCCCACATCAGAGCTTCAGCCCTGGGCCCATAATTTGCAAGCATCAAATGAAGCCTCATATTGCAATGCAAATTATAGTACCCAGGGAACAGCAGTATAATTGCCCAGTTACAAAGAAGGTAAAGAGGAGATGAAATTACCATAATGGGCCACAGAATATACACAAGAGAGTGTACAGAGGCCTATATGATAGACTTCATCAGCAATCTAAAGATAGGCTTGCTTCACTCTGACAATGTGCTCTCCTTTGTAGATAAAGATGTTGTTGGCTCAATCTTGGAAGAACCTGATCTGAGCCACTTTTTTAGTCGTACTGGATTGGACTGAATTATCATATCTCCTTATCCCGACTGAGAAATAGCTAACCAGGATCTGAGGTCATTTTTAGTTTTTAGAAATTGCAACCCAGTGGGTTCGTAGGGTGAAATATAAAAACAAGGAAAGTCAGAGAGCACAGCATTGTAGGAGAAGGGAAAGAGGAAGCGAAGAAGTAGAGCTACAAACAATCCAGTGGGGCTACCCGCTCAGCAATCTGAATTTTCTTAGGTTCCCAGAACCCAATGGAGCTTCGAGCCTGGACCCTAACTAGACGTCTAGCCCTGGTCCAGGATTCCAGAAAATCCACTTCTGTGCAGAGTGAAGAGGTCTGCAACTCACTCATTTGATTCCTAGGATCTCTCTAATTAATAATAAGTCACAATTTCTTCTAGAATTGCACAAGCGCTCTTCAAAAAGTTAGCAGAAGATAGAATTGAAAGAAAATGAAATGTTTCCACAAACCTTTTGGAACCCTCTTGTACATAAGAGAATAATGAAAGTGATGTGTTTGTCGCCAAATCTCTTGGAAATGGACATGGAATAATAACTCATTCTTCAAGAATGCGTTGGCCTCTAAATTTCTTTAAATTGGTTTGCAGTCATTCCATAAACATTTACTGATATTTTTGAACACTCCTCAATATGAAAGGCGCCCTGGTGGTGTAGTGGGTTAAGTGTGGACCTGCTAACCAAAAGATAAGCGATTCGAACCACCAGCGGCTCCTTGATGAGCCTGGCTGCTCCCATGAAGATTCACAGCGCTGAAGCTCTAGGAGCAGTTCTTCTCGGTCCTGTCGAGTTGCTGTGGGTTGGAATCACTTTGATGGCAGTGGCGGGTTCTTGAACTTGGAGGCAGATAAAGAAGATATAATACCTTCCCATTTGCTGATGATCACCCAAGTACAGTTGCAACTGTGCATTGACAGGGAGCTGCCTGTGGTTCGGGTTGGATTCAGAAGAGGACATGGAACAAGGGATACCATTGCTGATGTAAGTTGCATCTTAGCTGAAAGCAGAGAATATGTGAAAGGTGTTTAATTGTGTTTTGTTGATTATGCCAAGGTAGTCGACCATGTGGATCATAACAAACTATAAAGAGCACTGAGAAGAATGGGAATTCCAGAACACTTCAGGCAAAACTTGTCTATGGATCAAATGGCAGTTATAAGAATAGAATAAGGTCCATATTGTGTGGTTTAAAATCAGGACAGGTGAGCATCAGGGTTGCAGAATTTCACCATACTTATTCAGTTTGTATGCTGAGCAACTAATCAGAGAAGCTAGATCATATGCAGAAGAATGTGGTATCCGGTTTGGAGGAAGGTTTATTTTATTTTATTTATTTTTAACATTTTATTAGGGGCTCATACAACTGTTATCCCAATCCATACACACATCAATTGTGTAAAGCGCATTTGTACATCATTTCTCAAAACATTTTCTTTCCATTTAAACCCCCGACATTAGGTCCTCATTTTCCCCCTCCCTCCCCGCTCCCCCCTCCCGCATGAGCCCTTGATAGTTTATAAATGGGTATTTTGTCATATCTTGCCCTGTCTGACGTCTCCCTTGGAGGAAGGTTTATTAACAATCTGCAACATGCAAATGACACATCTTGCTTGCTGAAAGCTCGGAGGACTTGAAGCAGTTGCTGATGGAGATCAAGGATTGCAGCCTTCAGCATGGATTACAGCTCAATGTAAAGAAGACCCAAATCCTCACAACTGGATCAATAGGTAACATCATGATAAATGAAACCAAGATTTAAGCTGTCAAGATTTTCATCTTGCTTGGATTCACAATCAATGCTCATGGAAGCAGCAGTCAAGAGATCAAATGATGCTTTACACTGGGCATATCTGCTGGACAAGACCTTCTTGGTGTGTTGAAAAGCAGGGAGATCAGTTTGAGAACTAAGGTGCACTTGACCCCCAGCAATGGTATTTTCAATCACTTCTTATGCATGTGAAAGTTGGGCATTACATCAGGAATATCGAAGAAGAATGCCTGCATTCGAGTTGTAGTGCTGGCAAAGTATACCAAAGGTACCATGGAGTGCCAAAAGGACAAACAAATCTGTCTTGGACAAAGTATAGCCAGAGTGCTCCTTAGAGGCAAAAAGTGGTGCGCCTTCATCTTGCATACCTTGGACATGTTGTCAGGAGAGACCCTGTAGAAGGACATCATGCTGGGTAAAGTAGAATGGCAGTGGAAAACAGAAAGACCCTCAAGGAGATCTGTTGACCCTGGCTGCCGAATGGGCTTAGGCATAGGAAAAATGAGGACGGCGCAGGACCAGGCGGTGTTTCACTCTGTTGTGCAGAAGGTCACTGTGGGTTGGAACCACCTCGATGGCACCTAACACCAACCTTCCCTTACGTGCTTCTTTACTGTTGGGATGACGAACGGGCAAACAATAATACCAGCTGCTGCTGCGTCAACTCTAACTCCTGGGGGCCCTCGTGCCAGAGTAACTTTTCCTGCAAGGAGCTTCTGGGTGGACACGAACCCTCAAATGTTTGCTCAGCAATCAAGCATGTCCACCATTTGCACCACCCAGTGAGATGCGAACCATCCTAAAGTATGGTAGAAGAATTCATAGAGTAACGTGAATGGGATCATGGCAGTCCAGAAGAAGGGCACTCACCCACTGGGGATGGAAACAGGTTTGGGGTGACAGGAAAGAGTACGAGATGGACAGGGAGCATGCAGCTGGTGTGGCTGGAGCATAAGGGACTACATCAGCTGTGTGGTTGTTACATCATATGGTGTCAACTTGGGATTTGAGAGGATTAAGAATGAAGGGGTGGAGTCTGGTCTGTCATGGCCAATGAGACTTCTGTGTGGGCGTGGCCTTTCCCTGAGGATTCTGGGAATTCCTGTATTTCCTCCTTGGAGGCGGAAAACACTTCTCTCTCTCTGCTCACTCCCTGAGGACGCTTTACTGACAAGACACATGGCACTATGCTGATAGCCCCTGTACCCTGGGAACTGGAGAAGCCACATGGAGACCCCTGCCAGCGCTGAAATGCTTCTACCACCACTGGATCCACAAGACGTTCCAACCACTGGCCTGTGATCTTCCTGCATTCGGCATCATTGAGTTTGTTTCATTAGTCTGAAGAGGACTTTATAGATTGGTATTGGACATATAGGCTAATATTGGACTTATGGACTTTATCTGGACTAGGCTGGGATGTTTTATCAATGCACAATTACTCTTTATATAAAGCTCTTTCCTATACATATATAAGTGTCCTATGAATTTGTTTCTGTACTCTACCTTTACTAACTCAAGCTGTAACTCATCACCACAAACTTAGTAGTGTAAAACAACTCGAATGTATTTGTGTGTAATTCTGGAGGTCAGAAGCACAAAATCAGTTTTGCTGAACTACAGTCAAATTGCTGTCAGGACCAGTTCCTTGTTGAGGCTCTGAGAGGAGAACCTAATTCCTTGCCTTTTGCAGCTTCTAATGGTAACTCTGGGAGTTCTGGTGGTTCAATGGCTAAGAGTTCTCACAAAAAGGTCAGAAGTTCAAAGCCACCAGCAGCTCTGAGTTAGAACTATGTGGCAGTCTTCTGCTTCCATAAAGATTATGACCTTGGAAGCCCTATGGGGCAAGTCAACTCTATCCTAGAAGGTTGTCGTGAGTTGAAACTAACTCAATGGCAGCAGGTTCAGATCTTTTGTAGATTAGTGGACTCTAGTGCCACAATGGCTTAGCATTTGACTGATAACCAAAAAAGGTAGTTAAACGCTCCCCACAGCTACTCAAGAGAAAGACCTGGTGATTTGCTCTCATAAAGATGGCCACGGGGCAATCCCCCCATGGAACAGCAACACTCTGTCACCCGGAATTGCTGAGATGGAAATCAGCTCAATAGCACCCAGCAACAAATGTCCGTCAACCTCCCTTGGTCCATGACTTCTAGCATTTTCACAGTGAATGACTCCAATCTACTACACCACATTGCCTTTTCTCTGACTTTGACATCAGGTCATATCTCATCCTTCCTCCTTTGACCTAGTGATGAGATTGGACCCAGTAGATAATCCAGGATAATCTCCCTATCTCAACACCCTCAATTGATCATATCTACAAAATCTCTTTTTCCATATAAAGTGACATGCACAAGTTCTAGGGATTAGAATGATACTTACCTGCAGAGGAGCCGCTATGATCAGGAAGGTGGTTTCCCCAGGGCAAGGCTCATCCATTGCACTGTGGGTGTGCTGACCCCTGAGATTTCCCCAAATGCAAAAAACTCGACTGCATAATTTGTGGTAGTGGGGGACTGCGTTCACACTCTCCTCCGAAATACCTATTTTTTAAAAGAAAGTAAAAAAAGGGATTAGGATGAGGACAATTAGGGGTGGGAGTGGGGGACACTCTGAAGCTTACCAAATGAGAGCAAACGAATTTCATGAAGCAAGAAGGGGCCCAGGAAATCAGAGCGTTGTAAACCACAGTAAGGGACTTGTTCCTCTCCTCTTGTTGCTGGGAGCCATGGAAGGGTCAAAAGCAGTGGGAAGAGCAGAGGGGGAGAGCTGGATTGAAGGGGATAAACTAAACACAAAACCGGAAGACTACTGTGGGATTTAATGGAAAACTCTTTTCACCTAAATATAAAACCATGTACTTTTCCATGTCCACAAAATCCTTCGGGAAAGATAGAATCACCTGATAGTTAAATCCTTATAAAACTTTATTGCATGTTCTGGGTAGCACAAATGGTTAAGCACTCAACAATTCACAGAAAAATGGACTATTCAAACACACCCAGATGCACCTCTAAAAATAAGCCTGCCACTCTGCTTCCAGAGGGTGATCGCCTGGAAAACACCATGGGCCAGCTCTGCTCTGCATACATGGGGTCATAATGAATTGGAATCCACTAGAGGACAACTAACAATAAATCCTTATTAAGGAGTTCTCGCCATAGTTTTAGTTAGAACAACAAACACGTTTTTGACAAAGTGACTAATTACCTAAATGGAACCACTTTGAGGAGGGTCATCTTGATAATTACATGGGGATAACATGTGTAAGCGAGCAATGTCCTCAACCAACCAACTGTGCCAGGTGGTCACCCAATGCTTGGGACGATGCATTGTCTTAAGATTACTTGAATCAATGCTAGTTTGGGATGCTTATAGAAGTCTCTTGACTGGTTTAGTTAAAAACAACATAGGCAAATACAATTGCAAAAGGTACAAACAATCCACCACACCCTGAGAAAAGATGGAAGATGTCAAGGCTTTCATTTTACTTGGATTCACAATCAACACCCGTAGAAGCAGCCGGCCAGAAATCAGATCATGCATTACATTGGGTAAATATGCCAAAAAGGTCCCCGTTAAAGGGTGAAAATGTGAAGATGTTACTTTAAGGGCTCAGGCGTGCCTGGCGCAAGCAATAGGGTTTTCAACCACCTCATATGCAAAAGTTGGACGGTGAATACCAACTGATGCATTTGAACTCTGGTCTTGTTGAAGAATATTAAATACATCATGGACTACCAGAAGAACAAACAAATCTTTCTTGGAAGAGGTATAGTCAGAACGCTCCTTAGAAGAAAGGAGATTTGTCTTACTTGGGACGTGTTATCAGGATGTCAAAGTAAAGGGTCAGCAAAAAAGAGGAAGATCCTCAATGAGATGGATTGGCACAGTGGCTGCAGCAGTGGACCCAAATCTGGCAACGATTGCGAAGCTGCTGCAGGACTGAGCAGTGCTTCACTCTATTGCACTTAGGGGTGCTATGGCTTTGAACAAACCTGACAGCATATAACAACAACAACAACAACAACAACCGAGAGGCAGCGATTATTCCTGGGATTCGGATTTCATAATTGCAAGTGGTGGGCGGTGTTATAAACAAGCGTTAGAGAAGTTATTTTTAAATGGATATATGAAGTGATTACATAGTGAGGGTGACAACAGCGGTAAAACAAACACGGTTCCATGAGTTCTTGCTACTTTGGGAACCATCTTTAGAGACTCACATCTAAAGTTTCTGCAACACTACAGGATTGACCATGAATTCTTCTAGAAAGCTGCATTCCATATACAGGAAGCTTCACTGATACAGACTCTGATGCCAAAATACTGTCTCACAAAATGTGAGTGAGAATATTGATTTCTAAGATAATATCTGTGATAGTCAAGGTTTTGTAAATTGGCCAGGCCAGGGTTCTCAGTGGTTTGGTAGCGAAGACCTAGTAGTCCCCCATGATGAGAGTTCTTTGAGGATGGGGCCTATTTCAAATTAAGTGGACGCTGTGGGAAAGTTTGGGTCTGTTTCAATATAAGTGGATGCTATGGGAAAGTTTGGGTCTCCTTCAATATAAGTAGACACTATGGGAAAGTTTGGGTCTGCTTCAATCTAAGTGGATGCTATGGGAAAGTTCTCTTTCTTTTCAGCGGGGTCTGAATTTTGCATCAGACTGTAGACCCAGGTTCTCCGGGCTTGAGTGAGAGGCCTGCCATATTGTCTGCCGATCCTGGGGGTCACCATTAGCCGACCATCTGTCTTTCAGACCTTGGATTCTTTCATTCCTGCAGCCAGAAACTGTCATCTGACCTGCTGATCTTGGGTTCATCAGCCCATGCAGCCATACAAGTCAGGCTAAAGCTAACATCTGGCCCACTAGCTTAGAATGAGCCTGCTTCTACGACTGCGTGAGCCATGTCTCTGATATGAATCAATCAATCGCTCTCTCACACAACATATATATTTTACCGGTTTTGCCTCTCTAGAGAACCCAACCTAAGAAAATATCTTATGTTTTATGTGTGACTTTTAAATCCTGTCTTGTAGATTAATAATTTAAATATAAATAGATACTTGACTATAGATATAATTAGCTCCCCTCAAAAAATAGTTGAATTGTCAGGAAAAAAATATGTTCTGTCTTAATGCTGGACTTCCTTACATGCTTACAGACATACCTCCCTTTATTACACTTTGCAGATATTGCTTCTTCGTCCTTTTTTGTTTTTACAAATGGAAGATTTGTGGCAATATTGCATCGAGTATGTCTACCCACACCATTTTACTCACAGTGCATGCTCTCTCTGTGCCTCTGTGTCACATTTTGGTAATCCTCACAGTATGTCAAACTTTTCCATAACGCTATTGCACCCTGAATAGATTACAGTAGAATGTGAACATCACTTTGTATGCACTGGGATACAAAAATAAATTCATGTGACTTGCTTCCTTGAAATATTCATTTTGCTGCGGGTGATCTGGAACTAAACCAACAATCTCTCTGAGATATGCCTGGGTAGAGTATCCCAGGAGTAAACCCTGAAGGACTTATTAAGTCAGGTGTTGGGTAAAGAAGAAAGATAAATCAAGTGGGTGGGTGGTGGTAGTACTGTCCAAACCAGCCAATGACAGAGGACACACGTTTTCAGGGAATGGGATGGAACAGGGATATTAAAAGTTAATTGTTTTCCACCGAGGATCTGAGTTGTCTCTGTGGGTGAATGAGCTCTAGTAGCGTAGTTGGTTATACGTTGAGCTGCTACCCACACGGTCAGCAGTCTGAATCCACCAGCCATTCCTTAAGAGAAAGATGAGGCATTCTGCTCCTGTGAAGATTTACAGCTTTGGAAACCCAGAGGGGTTGCTCTACTCGGACCTACAGGATCACCAGGAGTTGGCACCGACTCAATGGCCGTGATGAACAGAAGGTCTATGGATGGAGAATGTGTTCAAGGAAGGCTGCTGCTGCTGTTAGTTCCAGCCCATCGCAAACCTATGAATAACAGAAGGAAGCACACACGCCCTCCTGCCCTGCGCCATCCTCACAAGCGTTTCTATGCTTGAGCCCATTGTGGCAGCCACTGAGCCCCTCTACCTTGCCGAGGGCCCTCCTCTTTTTGACTGCTTCTTCACTTTACCAATGACGTCCTTCTCCAGGGACTGGTCTCTCCTGATAACATATCCACAGTACATTCAATATTCTCCACTCGCACCACAATTCGAATGCATCAAGTCTTCTGTCTTCCTTATTCAATGCTTAACTTTCATATGCCCGTGAGGCCGTTGAAACTAGGGACGCTTATTTCATCGGGTAGAAACTGTGAGAACATGGAAAAGGGAAGAGGAAGCAAAGAGACTGTGGAGCAGGATTCAACGGGGGCATTTAGATGCCTATCAGGTTTTTGGTTTGGGGATGTTCAGGAAGATTTCTGTAAGGTGTGGCAGACTAGGACCAAATAGCCTCAGGGTTTCTGATAGAACTCATCTAAAGGCACTCACTGGGAGATTTAAACTAAGACTACATTCCAATCAGAACCAGGGGTAATGCCTGGTCTATGGTCTAGGGCAGCAGTTCTCAACCTTTGGGATGCGACTCCTTTGGGGGTCGAATGACCCTTTCACAGGCTTTGCCCGATTCATAACAGTAGCAAAATGACAGTTATGAAGTAGCAATGAAAATAATTTTATGGTTGGGGGGCTCACCACAACATGAGGAACTGTATTAAAGGGTTGTGGCATTAGGAAAGTTGAGAACCACTCGTCTAGGGCAAGGTGCAGCCTGAAAGTTCAGAAGCTACGTCTTCAGGGTTGAGGTACGCTATGTAGCTCCATTCTCAAAACTGAGGTCTGAGAAAGGCAGATGACACAGAGAAATAATGATCAAGTTTGATTATGTTTTAGAGGGAGCACTCATTGCCCTTTGGGGCCATTCTCATTACTGTAGAGTCGAGTCAGGAACTTGGGGTTACCAGGAGCAGGCATCAGTCTATGGCCCTGGCCAACCCTCTCTAGCTATCGTCCCCATCTGTGAAGTGTGACCTAAGAGGTGACTGATGGGGTGTTCCCTTCGCACCTCCTCTCGGCCACCAGCATTGGCTACAAAGGCTGATTCTTGCCCTTGATGGCTAGCTGGAACAACACGAGTGCCAAGGCCTGCCGGTGGAACGCACACTCCCCGAGTTCCATCCCCGAGGTCAGTGGCCCTCCAGACGAGCGTAGCATCTTCTCTTTCCATAAACATCTGTTTCCTTGGACCTCCCAGTGGGAGGGTGGGCATTTGGTGGCTGCCTGGCTCGGAAACTGCGCATTACGAGCTGTGGATCATCTTGCATTCCATGAAGTATGTGATCACAGCCAGATGCTGCGGTGATGGGCACACAACAGCTCTCTATAATAACCGTCATTATGATCCTGGTGTTTCTTTAGCTCCACATACTCTGAACTTCCTAAGTCACAAGAAATTTGGAAGAATTGCTTCTTAGAGGCTGCAATCAAATGGAGGAGGAGACGTTTTACTTGATTTTTTTAGGCAGGGGGAAATTC